GCTTCCGCTAGCCCTATAGGGGCTCTAGGTTAACGCGACATAGTCCTAAAGAATATCTACTCTATATTTTCACAAACTGGCAGTTAGGGTCTAGGTCAAACACCCCTACACTCCCTTTAACAACACTATACTTTGGTTAAAGACACCTAATTTTCCTACTATGTTACCACCTACTACTAAGCTACAGAGCTACAACCCTATAGCAAGGCCATAGGGCACACTACTCACCACACTCGCAGTGGCTTATAACATGAGACCAACCGGTCCTGCATACACCCCCTTTTAGGAGAACCTCTAAGGCACCACCCTCTACTAGTAAACCTAACACCATTTTAACTAGCAGGGAAGGCGCTTAGTTATGGAGGTCTTAGGGCTACATGTTACACCTACATCCTGCTTGTCACGGTTCACCAAGGCATAGGGCGCCAGTTGGGTATTATGAATTAAACTCAATCTAGAGAAGAAAGGAAAGAGAAGAGGAGCACTCGAGCAGTGGCTCGATCTATATACAGCTATTGTGGAGTGAATTCTCTTTAGCGAGACCAGTTCTGAGAATTCACTCCACAACTGAAAACTTCGCTCCAACCCCGGAAAGCTCCCCACACCCCTGAACCCCCACTCGAGCTGCAAGGCGCACTTGATATCGTAACACTACCCCCACCCTACTCCAGAGTTGATCTCCTGATCAAGAAATCCCATTTTTTTAAAAACAATTGTCTCCAGCTCTTATTTTGGTTTCTGAGGGTATTTTCTGTGATACGCTTGGGTAACTTCTGGACAATTTTCGAAGATCTCTGCAGTGTACCATGTCTCGTCTGGTGGATAGTTCTTCCAAGCTGCCTTGTAAAAAGCTTCTTTCGAATAACTTTTGAGTTGAGGATTTTGTCCACTTCCCACTCCTCTTCGCCTGTTTGGAAGTTTGAGCCGATATGCAACTTGCCCAATTCGCTCTAGAATTTCAAAAGGTCCCACTTGCTTGTGGTCTAGCTTCTTTGATGGCCTCTGTGTCTTTATATTTCGAGTTGAAAGCCATACTCTGTCTCCCACTTGATAGCGTGGTGCAGGTTTCCTTTTCTTGTTTGCGTAATGTTCCATTTTTGCTTGCAAAAGCGTGATTTTATCCTGCAGAAACTCCCAAACCTTTGCCATGGTCTGAGCTATGTTCTTGTGCTCTTGTTTGGCTTTGTGATATGCTTGCTGCTCTGTATTGAAGCTCATTCTTGGTTCATAGCCCTTGTTCGCAAAAAACGCGCTTGTCTTGGTTACATCTGATGGCAAACTGTTGGCAGCAAACTCCACCATGCACAAGTATGAAACCCAATTGTCTTGAAGATAGTTCACATGAGCTCGCAAGTAGCGTTCGAGCTCTGCATTGAATCGCTCAGTCTGTCCATCTGTTTCTGGGTGGAAGGCAGTTGAAAGTTTGGCACTATGGCAGTTTTTGACATATCGAATTATTGTTTTGTCCATGTTTGGCCAGTAATAGTGCTGTTTCATGACTCGCAGCATCTTTCCAGCTCCTGGATGTCCCATAGAAGGTTGTTCATGAACTTCTCTCAACAAGTCCACCTGAATGGTTTCTGGCACCCAAACTCGATTTTGATATTCTAGCATGCCGTTTTGAGTTCGCAATAAGCCAATGCAACCTCTTTGCTTGTTCGATCACCATTCTCAAGCTTCTGTAGTGTAGCCTTGCAGAATTTGTCTTCCAGTTGAGACTTTTGGATTTTCTCAAGAATTGTCATTTCTCTGATATGAGTTTCCACTGGAGCTAGCTGAGCTGTTTGGCCTTGTTCTTTGAGTTTCTGAATGTCTGGATGTAGCCTCGAAGGTGGTAGCAACACCTGAAGCTGTTGCTTTTGTCGATCATCCTCATCATTGCCTTCTGGTCTGTCACCAGGCCTTCGAGTCAAAGCATCTGCTTTTCCATTTTGCTTCCCAGGCCTATAGATGATCTGGAAGTTGTATCGAGAGAGGAATTCAGCCCATTGAGCTTGTCTTCTTGTCAGCTTCTTGGTGGACATGAAGTATTCCAAGCTTTTGTGATCAGACAAGACTTGGACTGGAAAATCTGTCCCTTCAAGTTCTGGTCTCCATGCTTCGAAACATCTGATGATTGCAAGCAATTCCTTGTCATATATCTCATAATTGCATTCTGCAGGTGCTAGCTTTTTCGAGAAGTATGCCACTGGATGTAGAACCCCTTGATCATCTTTTTGTGACAAGACTCCTGATGAGATGAAGTCTGAGGAATCTGCTTTGACATAGGCTGTCTTGTTTCTATCAAAATGCCTCAAGACAGGAGCTTCTGTGACTGTTTGTTTCAACAGCTCGAAAGTGGCGTCGTGCCAAAGGGATATCCGTAGATAACATGGATAACATAATATCCATGATATCCAATGTTATCCATCACGTGAGGTTGCAGCCATAAGCGCTAGCCATAGCACTAGCACTTAGCTGTAACACTGGCCTGACCTTGAAGCAGTCCTCTTTGAATTGAAAGCAAGGGAGGAGTTACAAGCACCGATATACTACAACTACGCGCTAAAACGATTTGGGAGCAACTTCCACAATACCACAACCAGCCTACGCCTCAATTCTCTCAAGGCTGGGTTTCGAATTTTAAAAGATGACATAAGATTAAGAGTTATACTCAACACGGCGAAGCAAGCTCAGTTCCTACACAAGCAGAGAAAGAAATGAAGGGGATACAGACAATAGCAGGGGAATATCAAGAGGAGGACATTTACAACATGGACAAAACTGGGCTCTTTTGGAAGCTGACTCCTTTGAAGGGTCTTTCAACAATATCACAGCCAGGATTTAAAAGGACAAGGCGCGAATATCAGTTGTTACAAACTGTACAGGAGCTGATCGGATGCCACTTTGGTTTATTGGAAAGGCGAAGAAACCTCGAGCACTCCGGTATATTAATGTTGAAGCAATTGGAGGTTATTGGCGATGGAACAAGAAGGCTTGGATGAATCAGTTTATTATGGCAGAATGGCTAAGAGCTTTTTATTTACATATAGGCTCTCATAGACAGATTCTGCTAACAATGGACAACTTTTCAGCACATATTGATGCTGTCGAAACAACGCCTCCGCCCTCAAATATATGAATTATCTGGCTACCAGCAAATGCAACATGTCGATTCCAGGCTCTTGATCAAGGCATTATTGCCTCACTTAAAGCTCATTATCATCGACAATGGCTTGCGTTCATGCTAAATGCCTTCAACAACAATGGAGATCCTCTTAAAACTATTAACTTACACCTTGCCCTTCGCTGGATCATCTGATCTTGGTATCACCATGTCTCAAATACGACTATCTACAACTGCTTCTGCAAAAGCACAATCATCAAAAACCTGATCCAACTTCCTCTTGAGCACATTCCGCCTCTTACTGACCTTTACAACCAAGTACAACAGCACGGCTGAATTCACGATGCGATGGACCTTTCAAACTTTCTAAACCCAGCGGAGGAGACAATACAAGAAGAGGGTATACAAGATAGTGAGGGGGATATAGTACTACAAGAGGTCATTGAACAATATATCCAGCCTCCTAATGAAGCTCAAGATGATGATGATGGGGAGGAGCTCAGACTGCCGGTGGTTCATTCTAAGCAGGCAGTTCTACAAGCCCTCCAAGTTCTGATTGACTTTACGGAAACTGGAAATAGTGGCATAAGGGAGCCGGCAGTTACGCTCCGTTCTTTAGAGCGTATAGAAAGGGAATTAGTGGTCAAAAGGGCAAATGAGGGCATTCAGGGCATATTGGATGTTTGGCTTATGTAATGGTTTGATTACTCGATATTCAGTATATCTCGATATTATCTAGAGGAATTATTATATCGACTTATCGCGTGAGAACTGTACCTAGTTTAGTGGAAATCCGCTGTTTTCATACTAAGACGTGAGGTGGTTTTTGCCTATAACAATGATAAATGGTAGAATCGCCTAGACTTGGGAATTAACACCCTGTATTACTTTAGCCCATTCACGATTGCTAGGCTATACTTTCTTTGCCTTCGTACGTCCATTAGAGCTTGTTACCACTGTTGTAGTTGAAATAATGCCCATCATAAACCCTGTCTCATCGAAGTTGTAAATATCCGCATCGTAGATGCCGTACTTCACAATTGTGTTTCGCACAAGCTCAAACCAGCTACGAATAATTACTAGGTCTTCGCATTTAGCCCTCTAATAGTCGTATTTGTGCTAGAACCTTGTTTGAGTTCTGTGTGACGTTTAACAAAGTTGGAAGCCTAGCGCGTCTTGATTACGAGGACAAAGCTTCTGATGATCGACAGAATAGAGCTTTCTAGCAGCTCGAGCACTTAGCTTAGGGTTTGCATCGCCTGAAGAGCTAATATAACTTGGCTTTCATCGTTTTTCTACGGCATCTTTTGTTGTGAAGGGATTTACTGTTTACTAGAGTAGTTGTGTGGATTCAAGGTAGTGTATCATTCGTTATGTTGTATCATTCGTTATGTTGTATCATTCGTTATGCACGCACGTTATAGATAGATAGATTATACTTTAAACCATTATAATTACTCTGCGCTATGCAGAATTATCTAACAAACGGTACAATGAATATAAGCCCTGGTAAATAATGCATAAGGTGGAATTATCTACCATTATAGGCTGTACCTCTCGAATAACTCGTAGCTCCATACGCGACAATATTAGACTACTTGATATAAAGAAGCTTCACATACCGTTTCGGCACCTGCGCCCTGACGAAATCAGATACCTGTGGCAATCCACCGCGTGGCAGGGGCAGGCTACATCAAACATTTCATCATTTTCAAACAGGACCATCATTGAAGACCACCGCATAGGGCAAGTCCGGACATTTAACGGCGGGTCAAGCGACGTCGATGAGGCCTCGATCTTTCCTTTTCCCCATCTCCCGCCGTTTGGAAATACCACTGTTCAAAATCAATTTAGCCAAAACGGTCAAAGCGAACTTGTAGTAAGACTTAGTATTCTCCTCTACCATAATCTAAATATATACAACGAGAAGCAGAAATTCTCAGGAAAAAACATTAAACGAGATGCCGACACCTCCATTCGCAATAGCGGGAGGCCCCACAGCTTGCCGTCTCGAAACAACTTATGCCACCCACTACATCCTCGCTCACTCACAGCAACACAGCAAACAGCGCAGCCAACCCCGCACCAAGACCAACGGCAACCGATACAGGCCCATTAGGCGCAGCAGCCGCGCCAGAGAAGACAGCCCTGTTGCTACTCGTCGGCGTACCGCTGGTGGCAGCGGCCGGAGGTGTGGTGGGCTGGGCCACACCAGCCGGGCAGTCCCAGTGGTCGCCGTGAGCAACACACTGGCCACTTTTAATGGCAGTAGGTGTAGATCCTGGAGGGGTTGTTGGCTCTGGCACGCCATCTGGGCAGTGCCAGTGGTCGTCGTGGGCAACACACTCGGCATCGGTGACAGGTGGTGTGGTTCCTCCTGGTGGAGTTGTTGGCTCTGGCACGCCATCTGGGCAGTGCCAGTGGTCGTCGTGGGCAACACACTCGGCATCGGTGACAGGTGGTGTGGTTCCTCCTGGTGGAGTTGTTGGCTCTGGCACGCCGTCTGGACAGTGCCAGTGGTCACCATGAGCTTCGCACTCGCCGCCGACGACAGGTGGTGTGGTTCCTCCTGGAGGGTTTGTTGGCTCTGGCACGCCGTCTGGACAGTGCCAGTGGTCACCATGAGCTTCGCACTCGCCGCCGGCGACAGGTGGTGTGGTTCCTCCTGGAGGGTTTGTTGGCTCTGGCACGCCATCTGGGCAGTGCCAGTGATCGTCGTGGGCAACACACTCGGCGCCGACGACAGGTGGTGTGGTTCCTCCTGGAGGGTTTGTTGGCTCTGGCACGCCATCTGGGCAGTGCCAGTGGTCACCATGAGCTTCGCACTCGCCGCCGGCGACAGGTGGTGTGGTTCCTCCTGGAGGGTTTGTTGGCTCTGGCACGCCATCTGGGCAGTGCCAGTGATCGTCGTGGGCAACACACTCGGCGCCGACGACAGGTGGTGTGGTTCCTCCTGGAGGGTTTGTTGGCTCTGGCACGCCATCTGGGCAGTGCCAGTGATCACCATGAGCTTCGCACTCTCCAGGTGGTGTAGTTTCAGCGGGTTGACCTCCTGGCGGAGTTGTTCGCTCCGGCTGTCTGATATGCACGGAAAGGAAGGCGGCACCGGTTGGGGAGGGTGGAATAACCGCCGTCGTAGTAGCGCAGGCGCCCGTGATCGTGTAGGTGTTAGTGATGATATTGTACCCGGCCGAGGCCCTCCCCTGGACGCTGTTGACGGAAGAGGCCCAGTTCTTGTAGTCGGTCACGGTGTGGTCGATCCCAAGGCTCGTTACGGTCGTCGTGCATAGCTCGGCGGCATCGGTGGTGACTGCCTGGGGGTGGGGGAGGCCAACGGCCAGCGCGACGAGCACGCTGCCGGTAAAGAGGTGGAGGAGACTCATGGTCGGCATTGACGATGGGGGGTGAGGGTTGATCTCGACTGATCGGATCTGTCAAAACGAGTGAGAGAGGATGGATGAAGCTTTGGTGTGGGTGCCGAGAGCTCTTGTTATATACCTTCCACGTACTGTACCGTGGCGTCGGTAAAGCGAGGATATGTACAGAAAAATGGCGCAGGGAAACAAGTCAGGGACCAGCTGGGCTGTCTATGGTAATGCTCGGTTGGTCATCGTGCTGCCGCGCCAAGTATTGGATCAGACGGTCCAGGCAGCTTTTGGGGTCAGATATGACACTTGCCGAAGAATGCTAAGCCGCTAGCTCGGTCGGATTTCCGGTATCGCATGCGGAATATCCAATAATAACTGGGGCCTGTGAGCAGGGGAAAAGAGCATACTGTACATACTGTATAGCATACGTAGCATGGCATGGCTCCCTCGTGGGGGTTATAAGGTTGTAACCCTCGTGGATGTGACACCCGGTGGGAATCTCCACTTGGCTTCATGTGGGGTGACGAAAGAAGAAGCTGCGTGGGTCGTGGGCTCTGGGCCGTGTCTGGGCTCCCGTCATTGCGTCCGCCGAACCAAGAAGGGAGTCAAAAAAAGGAACCTAAAACGAAACCTTGGGGGATCTGGAGATTAACAGCTAATGTGAGAGGAGGACACCGCCAAGCCGCCAAGCCCTACAGGAACCCCACTTCACCCCCCACTCCTGCCACAAACTCTGACATACTCTACGGTATGGCTCAATTGGGTAAATCGCGACATCGCAGCCCAACAGCCCCATCAGCGTCACCTTGGGGGATATAAAGTGTAGTTAGGACATGGGGTTATCCCACTTTTCACCCAATACACACATGTTTGATTGGCGATGCTTAATTCGCCTTTTCCTTCTCCTTTTTTCTTTTGTTTTTCTTCCTTCTTACTTTTCTCCCGGTGCATAATCCCCGTTTACACATTGCCCTAGTTTTCTAACCTATTAGGCTGCAGTCTAGGTAAGAAAAGATTTAGACTAGTAGTTCAGGACCGCTAGTCCCCTATAACATAGGCTAGTTCTAGCTCTAGAGCAGCCCTCCTTATTTAGGGTAGAAGTTGTATCCCACCAAAGTACGATTTTGCTAACGTGCTTAAATTACAGCTGTCGTTAGGTATTTTACAATCTAGTTAGCTAAGATACATACATATACTATACCTTACCGGCGCGCCACGTATTCGTGGAGGGGTCCGAGGACGGTCTGGGGATCACCAGCCATTTTGGCCGGTCATCCCACGGTCAGTTGGCCCGTGCACCGGTCCGAAGACCGTCCAAAATCCGGGATCAGGCTTCAACCCATACGGTTGAAGCTTTAGAACAGTGATAGAAAATTGACAGTAGTATGACAGTAAAATTTGCTTACCGTTTGTGATCCTGGGGCCGTTGATGTGATATTGCCGTCGCCGGCCACACTATCGTCATGAGTCCATGACGGCGACTGCCAATACTGACTGGAAGCACTCACTCCTCAGTCCTGACACTGTCGGCGTGGAGTGAGGACAGTACTATCACCGTCCTCAGGGTGAGACCAAGGGCGGGCGTTTCTGGTTTCCTCGAATGGAACCCATCGCGGCCGTGGATGAGGCAATGGGCGGTCCTGGGACCAGGAGTTGGAGCGGCGGCAAGGAAGCCGCAAGAGTTGAAAGGCACGCCAGCCAAGCAAGAAAGGCAAAGAGGAACTGAAGAATGGCAGACGAAACAGCGAAGGAAATGACAGAGGCGAATGGTGATGGAAACGACAGAGGGAACGGTGGTAGAATCGGTGGTAGAATCGGTGGTCGAAAACGGCAAGGAGACCGGCGAAGGAGACCGGATGAGGAGACCGGATGAGGAGACCGGATGAGGAGACCGGATGAGGAGACCGGATGAGGAGACCGGATGAGGAGACCGGATGAGGAGACCGGATGAGGAGACCGGATGAGGAGACCGGATGAGGAGACCGGATGAGGAGACCGGATGAGGAGACCGGATGAGGAGACCAGCGAAGGAGACTGGCAAAGGAAACGGCAAAGGAAAACGGTGAAGGAAAATGGTGAAGAAGACCGGGAGAGGAAAGCGAGCGAGGAAATTGAAAAATGAGGCCAAGATTCCAAGGGCAGATAGCTTGATAGATACACAGCTATCTGTCATTGGAATCTGTAGAGCTCTTGGGGCCCAGGAAGCCTTCCTTCAGCGGCGGATAGATAGGCGACGGCGTGGGCTAGAGCACCAAGAGTATGATCATTTTGATCACGGCAGCGACGCAAGCTGCAGAGGAACACAGAAGAGAGGCGACAGGCACAGGAAAGCAGGTGTTAAATCAGGCATGGGAATCAAGCTTCATTGCGTATTATTTATATAGCCAGTATTCATGCCAGATCCAGCTTCATGTTGGGAGTAATTCTACGGTCCGGGGATGTAGGGCCAGGACTGTATGTAGATCTCCGGCGACCGTAATTAATCCCGGGTGCAACGGAACAGAACGCTCACAGTAAATATGGTAATTTAGAGTAAAAATGAAACAATTGAATTCATATACTATCCTACGGGCCTACGTATTCTATATGTAGGGAATGGGGAAAAACCCCGTACGGCTGGGTGGTAATCACCTGAGCGGTGGAGGATTTCGGTGGCTGCAGCAGATCAGCACGGCCACCCAGTATGGGAGCTGGACGGTCGCCCTGGGAAATACGGGTGTCTCAGGGCCTAATTTCCACCGAATCCCCACGCCCATGTCCTCCTTTCCCTCCAACACTTCAAACTGTAAGGCGGCCCTCACGTGAGGGCACGTGAGGTGCCACGCTCTTACAGTGGACCTGGCGGGCTCGGTAAATTAGGGCCTACGGGTTCCTGTATATAAGGGGCTGGAGGCTCGGAGTGAGGCCTCCAGTCAATAGTCGCTGTATCAGCGTAGACCTATTGTGCTTCACACCAATATAACCCTTACTTCCTGCCTCCTGACCTGGTTCCCTGAACTCCCGTGACACCCTGGGCTCTACGCCTTTACACAAACAATGCCATTGTGATCCGTAGCCACTCTTATTCTGACAGCAAACATGCCTCAACCCAAGATATCCAGGTAGAACGCCCAGCCCAGAACAGCAAAGTCCAAAAATGTTCCATCGAGGAGGTCAGCAACATAATGCCAACTTCCCAGCCCAAGCCACAAGCCCAACAGCAGCGCACAAGAGAATGCCCCCCAAAGCAAGTGTAAATTAACCGCAAGAAGAGGCGGCAAACATCTCACTCTATCACCCGAGCACTACGCCCAGGGACTAGAGTTTCTTTGCGGCGCTTTGGCGGCGGCGGAGAAGCCCTACTCAAGATATATTCTTGTCCTTGAATAAGGGCATGTTTCTTCGAGATAGGTTTTGGCGCCTTTGTATTTGAACGCCGTTTAAAGGTCCCGTGGAACTCATCTTTGTCGAGCTGATCGTAATCCGCAATCAAGGGGAAGCGTTGGAGGAAATCCGTAAAGCTTTCTCGGGAGTGTAGGCTAACAGCCTTTCGATTAGGGTCAGATTTCTAGTCCATCATCAATTTCGTTCCGGGCACAAGCATTGATGTAAAGTTCCTTGACATAGTACTGGGCGAGGTCGCTGCTTTTCTCAAGGTCGATATAATGGTGTATGAATCGAAATGCCTCAAAAAAAATTCACAGCCGTATACCGAGTACGAAACATATCTCCAAGGCCATCTAAGGTCATGCAGTAACGAATACCAGATCCATCTGTTACATTCATTGCAGTCTTGACGTGAAGCTGTAAAGATGTTAGAAATTACATTTGAGATAGGAGATGTATTACTTACTATAAGATCCTCGATGAGTGAATACCGGTAACGTTTGACCTTTTCCATAAGGACAACACGGACACCACTTTGCAAACCCAGTCTTTGGTGTGAGCAGAGTTATTGGAAGTATAACTTCTGTACTTTTGTACTGAGATTGCCAAAAGTCCTGCACTGTCTTCTTTGCATCCGCTACCCAGATAGGGTCCCAGTTGTCTTCGAAATAGCTCCATTTTTGACTTGGAATGAGAATCATTGCTGCAATGTATACAGGGCTTCGATCTGTAAGGCTATAGTACTTATCCAGCTTTGCCCAGCCAGAGTTAATGCAAGGAATCATAAATGAATCTGAAGCGTAGGTTGTCTTGCCATCTCCAAGCTTCTCTAATATATAATCCATAGAGGTAGGACTCTTTCCAAAGTGGCACTACGGCCTTCTGTAGCTTTTGTAAAAGTCTCCAAGAAACCCATGAATGTTACTTAAATTAGCCCAATCAGAACTAGACAATACATCGCCTACTAAATCACCTCCTACTTGAAAGCAATATAGGTCGATAGCAGGTTTAACGTCTTCATGAAGAGCTGAAGTTATCATTGAAAACCAAGAGTTCCACCGTGTCATATTGTCTCGAAGTAATCGACATTGTGGAGACCTTTGAATATAAACTACAATGTTATGTAACTTTCCAAGAGGGCCTTTTCGATGCCAAGTCTCCATTTCCAGCTGTGTAGGAATATACGAAGAACTTAGGTTGTTTGTCTCTGAAAGAGCTTCATCTTCAGTTGAGAAAAGAAAAGCCTGAGCTGTAAGATTGATAATGTGGCCATTGCAGCGAAGATGGTATTGCTTTGCATTATATGGAATATGGCGCTCCTCTAAAGCAATACTAGTGTTAATATTAATAGTATAAATATAGGAGAGAGTACTAACTAGCTGAAAGACTCTGCATCATCGTCTCGTTGTTTTCTGCATTATCCATCATAAAATACCCAACTTTACTTGCAATTCCAAACTCATCAATCACTTTTAGAATGAGCTGTGATTGGTTTGCCCCTGTATGCCGACCTTCTAATTCTCGTAGTGCTAGAACTGACTCTCGAAGCTGACCATCTTCTGCAAAGTAATGGGCTATTATTCCAAGTAGAGCGAGGGAGTTTGTTGACGTCCACAAATCAACTGTAAAATGAACCTTTGAAATAGCCCCATGGACAGCTTGTTGTACTCGACGTTTCTCTACACGAAAGGACTCCATAGTCCAGTTACGCACAGTTTCATGGTTAGCTGGAAGTGCACTCTCAGCTTCTGGGTTTAGAAACATAAGAAGCTCTTGGAATTCTGGCCTTTCTGACATTCGTAGAGGAAGAGAACAGCGTGCAATCCATCGTATAAAGAGCTGTTGAAAAGTTGCAATATCAAAAGACGTGTCAAGCTTACGATGCTTCGTGTAAAGCAAGGCCTCTTGACCTCGTTCAAAAGCCTCTGCAATTGACATGGTTTGTGCAAGCAACTTAGTCCCTTCCTTTGGATCTGTAATAGAGTGACACTTTAACAAGTGCTTCTTTGGGCCTCTCGTTCCACCTGCCTCATGATACTCCTTCTTGCAAATCCCACAACGCCAAACAATCACTTGTTGACCATTGAAGTATACTGTATTTGGATCAACTGGCATATGCTGTAATGGTGGGTGCACCAGATGTGAGAATCTAGCCACCCAAGGAAGGGATGATTTTACTAAGACAACACACTGTCTTAGAAAACAGAGCCAAAGGGTCGTAGCTTAGACTATTCCACAACGCAGCAATCAGGTGTGTGATGTAGTGAAGTGGTTCAGACAAGTTGCAACAAATGTTGAGTCTGGGAACTCAGGGGTAAGTCAGAGGTTAACATCTCACTGACTTTTCAGAAACAAGGAGTAACAAGATCAATGCTTGGAAGCTTGGAAAAGACGTGGAAGTATGTGATAGTCGATTTACTGTATTGTCTGCTTGCCCTTTCTTAAGGAAAGGGCAATCCTATTTATGCTAAAGGAGTGTAGTTCTCTCATTTTCCAAGACTTTCCATGACTTACCAGGCTTGGTAACTGTAGTCGACATAAGAGAATCCCATAGAACCATCTCTTAGGTTCGTAGCCTATAGGAAGTAAAAGGAGGTCCAAGGTCAGAGTACCCCTATAGACAAATTATGTCATAGACAAATTATGTCATAGACAAATTATGTCATAACTTAACCAATCTTGTGGGTAACTAAAGAGCGATGACATGTAATGAATCATAGAGGTAGGAGCTTTTAGAGCTATCGTTCATGCTCCTAGGCCTCTAGTTGGTAGAGATATGTCATGTGGTAGTATGAGTGATGTCATGTAATGAATCATAGAGAGTTGTAGAGATATGCTATGTGGTAATATCGGCCCAGTAACTAAGGAGCGATGATGTGTAATGAACCATAGATGGTTGTAGCAATCGTTGAGTAGTATTGCTCTTGTTGTTGGTGTGATAAGCCAAAATATGTATAGTGACTTGTAGGTTTGAGGAGGAGATTTCCAAGTTTGCTCTTGAGTTTGATAGCAAACTGAGTGCAACGAATGTCAGTATGACATATGCGACCAGATAAAGGAAGTGCGAGAGCGCTTCTGGTTTGAAGTAATGGAGCCGAGTTGTGATGATGAAGATTGACAATCAAGGCCTGAGCTAGCAACATTAGTTTAATAACTTAGATTGTATACTAGGTGGTAGTGATTGCTCAGTTGAAGCCTGCGACGACATTTTGGTAACTTATCAAATGTAACAAAATTGCGCCCGTGAGCATCCAAAAGTCCCGGGGAAAAAAAAATCAGCGCTAAAAGCTATGGTAATATATTATGTCTGGCCCACTATTAACCCCCCAAGAACTGTCAGTTCGTTCAGTTCAAAACAGTCAGTGCGGACAACTTGAACTGAACGCCCCACTATATGAGAACTTGTGAACTGAACTGAACGCCCCACTTATAAAAGCCGAACTGAACTGAACTGAGCCGATTTGAACTGATGAGCTGATGAACTATTAGCAACACTGTTCACAGCAGCTGCGACATGCATATTCAATGGATTACAATAATCCATACATCACTAACCTAGGGAACCACCCCATCCAATGGTTTTCCCGCTTTAGCTTCAGAGATCCGTAAGCCTTCATGTCTTTTTGCCTGCCTCCCCTGTTGTCTTTCCCATGTCAGCTAATCAAGTTGAGAACAGGACCATTCAGCGTCGGGTGTCATTTGAGGCCGGAAATTCGTTTGTTGTCCGGGACAACACCATGGCCCGGTTCGACATTGGATTCATCCACGAGAGTTTTCATGGCGAGAAGCGCCTCTTCGCACTTATGACCATAATAGAAGAGTGCAACAAGGAGGATCCCATGGTTATGCTCCCACTCGTGAGGGTGAGAACCTCGAGCCAGATGATGGTTGGTCTCCCGGCTATTGGGAGCAAGGCATTGTATATCGTGGACATTGATCCCAAGCAGAGATACATGCTAGCACCATTTGCCAAGGGGCCGCTCAGAATGCACAATGCCTCTGATAATTTAGAGCATCCAGCTCCAAGTGCTTCAGATCTACTGACGTCAATCTACTGTTGGTAGGAGATTGGCTTGATATGAGAATGGGATGGGAAGGGGACAAGCAATCAAAACTGTGGTATCACAGGTTAGAAGTGAAGCGTAGATAGAAAAAATAAATCCTAATTATGTTTACTATATGCCTATTGATGTGAAGTTGAGCCGTGGTAATGCCACTTAGAAAGCGATGCTAAAAGAAGTGGTGATATTCGGCACCTTCCGTTTGTGTGCGGATACCTTCATCTTCACCTCCAGCCCAATGTCAACCTTCCACGCCACACCTTAGGTATCAAAATGGGTGAAAAGGTTTGTTTTATTGTGCTTGAAAGCTTCTACAACCTCACTTGAGGTTGTAGAAGCCGCATATAATGGTAATTCTCGCGTTTTCCTCTTCTTCTAGGCAGTGTTGCCAGTAGTGTGATATTGCAATATATTGCAAATAAAATCTACTATTGCACTGCAACAATATTTGAATTCCGACTATTGCACTGCAACAATATATTGCAATATTAGTATTGCAATATTGAAGCTATTGCAATATACTGATAGTATTAGATGGCTTTACTATCACTATCTAGCTGTCGCCTACCAACTATCCAACCATGCTGTGGAATGACCTCCCAACCACGACTTTAATGACTCTAAGGCTTCTAATGTCTCCGCTTTCATCTGGTTTCTCTTATCTGTCATTGTAGCCTTTGCACTCGAGAATAGGCGCTCTGGTTCAGCCTCCATTGCTGGTATTGATAGAATATCTAATGCCATAACTGCGAGTGCAGGGTAGTGTAACGCTGACTTCTAAACGATAGAAGACACAGAGGTTCTCTTGCGTAAGGGTTTACTTATCAGAGGAGGCAGGGGATCAGACACAAAGGCTTCAAGTAACACGTTACTAGTATATAACAAATACTGTATTGAGTTGAGCACGAAGCTCCTATCTAAGGAAATACTATCTACTTATATAGTGGCGTCATGCCTAGTGGACTCTTGGGAACTCCCTCGAGTCCTCAGAGTCCTGGACTCTTAGGACTCTTCTCATCATCCTGCGAGTCCGTCACGTGCCTAGTGGACTCCTGGGAACTCACTCGAGTCCTCGGATTCCTGGACTCTTAGGACTCTTCTCATCATCCTGCGAGTCCGTCACGTGATACTTTCGGAACTACTATTCCCCGCTGCCCCTCCAGGTACCAGGGCCGGTCTCATGCGACCTCCCTCCTTCCTGTCCTGTAGTTGGCCAGCCTTCTTGTTCCGTCGTAACACTCGCTCCCTTCCCCTGGGCATTCGTCTCGAATCCTATAAGTACGTCCATGTCCCCGGGACTCTGCTGCTCCTCAGCGAGTCCTTCAACATGCAACATGCCTACTGACACTGCCCGCAAACTCCAGGAACGCAACGATCTTGTCCGTCGAATAAAGAACCACGGATACGAACTACCCGAAATGGATTCTTGCTCGAACTGCGTGAGGCGAAACATTACTTGCGTGTCGTCTCCAAATGATTCACGGCGGTGCGCCGAGTGCGTTCGTCGCAACTTGAAAGAAAAGTGTGACTGTATGGGTCCTGAGCATCCCGACTGGGTGAAGCTCGAACGGGAGGAGGATCGCCTGGATCGCGAAGAGGAAGAAACCCTTTCGAAGTTACTTCGTCTGCGGAAGCAGAAA